AACACAAATGACTCATTAAAAAAACAGTTAGAAGAGTGTAATAAAGAAAAAAAATCCTTGCAAGATAAAAATAAAAAGCTCGAAGACGAAATTAACAAGTTAAAAGAAGAATTAAAAAAATGTAAAGAAAACCAACCAAAAGAAGATCTTGTAAAAGAAAACAAAGAACTAAAAGAACAATTGGAAAAATGCGAACAAGAAAAAATGCCTTTAGAAGAAGCAAATAACGAATTGCAAAAAGCATTAAAAAAATGTGATAAATATTACACAGCCCTTGATAAAAAAGCTAATGTTATTTTAGATAACTTTATAGTTCAATATGAAAGTACTAGTGATCTAGAAACTAAAATAGATAAAATCGGCACAGTTAGTATAGAAATTAAAAAAGTTAATTAGTATATAAATAAATACAATATTGTTTGTATACAATAAACAAAATGACGTCCTCTGGTGAAATAAACCGTATTGTAAAGTTATTAGAAACTTTAAAAGATGAAAACGAAACCCTTAAAAACGAAAACAAAAATCTACAAAACATCGACGAAAAATGTAAAAAACTAACTGAAGAAAACGAAAAACTCGTAAAAGAAAACAAAGAAATAACAGAGAAAAATGATGAACTTGTTCTTACCGTACATAAAAATCTCCTAAACAGATATAGACAACTGAACAAAGGAATAACAGAATCATTGGAAAATTTAGATAAAAAATTTGATAATTGTTTAATCTTATTAAAATTTAACTTTATTTCTTCAGATTCCAATATAAATAAGATAAATAAGATCGTTTTCGTTAGTGAAAATCTCAAAAAAATTCAACAATGATTTCCGCTAAATTACAACAAATTCAAAATGAAATAGATAAATTAAAAAAAGAAAACGAACAAATAGAAACTGAAAATAATCAAATTTTAAAAGATAGTCAATACGAAAACCTATTAAAAACGAATCAAGAACTACAAAAAGAAAATGAAGTTGCTAAGTATTAAAATGAAAGATTAACTATAAAAAAGGAACAAATAGTAAAAGAAATTGATTTAGAAAGAAATCAATATGAAGAAAAACAAAAAATATTTGATATCTTGAATGAAAAAATAGATATCATTTTAGCTAATTTTAATTTTGAAATATTGTTTCCACTAAACGATACTTTAGAAAAAATGGAAAAAATTGTAAAATTATATAATGATGTCATACAAATCAATCAAAATTAGTTTTTTTTATTTGTTCTATAAATAAAATAAATAAACTCTCTTTTGTTGTAAGTAAAATGATATTCAGTTCCGGTAAACTAAATAGAATTCAACAAATTTTAAACGATTTAAAACAAGAAGAAACTACTTTGAAAGATAAAATCTCCTAATGTAAAGATAAAAATAAAGATTACGAACAAAACAAAGAAACTAATCAAGATTTAAAGAATCTAGAATATGATTACAATTCCTTGGAAAGAACTTTAAATAATATATTAGAACAAATCGAAAAAGAAAAAGAAATTAATATTGAAACACAAAAAAGAGTAGAAATATTAAACCAAAAGGCTAATATTGTGTTGAAAAACTTTAAAATATCGCCAGAAATCCCCACCTTATTAAACAAATTAAAGTTAATCCAAAAAATTAGCGAAGAATACAAATGAATTTCTCGTCAGAAAAAATTAAAGAAATTCAAAAACTCATCAATAAAATACGAAATGAAAATAAACTCTTGTCAAAAGAAAAAGAAGAATGTGAAAAAAAAGACTTTAATAATCAACAAATTATTAATGAAAATAATCACTTAAAAGAACAAGACTTTGAAAACAAAATACAAGAAAAAGTACAAGAAATTGGAGGAGTTAAAAGAACACTTAGTGCTTTTATTAAACATAATAGTTTTGAATTACATAAAAATTTTATAAATAATGCTCTAAATAATTTTAAAATAATCTATAATGAAACAGATTCATTAGAGGAAAAAATGGATCTCATTATAGAATTTAGCAAAAACATTCAACAATAAATAAAAAAAGAAATGATTTACATTTAATTATATATTTAATTAATAAAAATTAATATACTTCTTTTAAAAAAAATGTCTGCCAAACGACTCCAAATACCAAGTGGTTCTGGTGAACTTGACCGTATCCAAGGGCTAATCAATAGCTTGGGTGATAAAATCAAAGAATTGGAAAAAGAAAACGAAGAATTAAAAAAAAATAAAGAACCCAATCAAAACCTAAAAAATGAAAATGAAAAACTGAAAAGCGAAATCAAAACTTTAACAAACGAAAAAGATAAATTAAACAAAGAAATTGACACCTTGAAAAAAACAAACGAATCATTAGACTCTCAACTTAATACTACTTTAGATTTATTAGAAATAAACTTTGATATTAAAATTTCAATTGAACAAAAAATGGACGTAGTTGTTGAAGGAGTTACAGCATTTACAAAAATAGCAAAACCAGAGTAATCATTTCAATTTTACAAATTTAGTGATATTAAACACCATTTAACAATCAATTACTAGATTTAGATTTATTAAATGTAGATAACTCTACATTTAATAAATCTAAATCTAGTAATTGTATAAAGACAGATTAATTATAAAAATAAGAAGAATTTTCGTTTATAATAAAAAAAAATATAAAAACAACATAAAAACAATAGTATGTATGTATATTATCTAAAATGAAAGTAAAATCGAATAAAAAACCCTATTGTACTAAAAAAGTCATCTATTGTAAAGAATCAGATATGTCCTTGGCTGGTGCTATCAATGTCGGAAAATATAACAATAAAGGAGAGTTAGAATACGATCATGATGTTCAAGAATTTGAAAACTTACCTTTTAAAATTAAAGTTGAAACACTTAAGAATGAAGATAACGCCACAAGACTCTTTTTTTTCGATTACGATCCAGAAAAAAAGATTGAGGTTCCCGAAGGTATTATTGTTAAAGATGTAACCTTTGCAAGAAAAATAATTAAAGATCCGCTTCCCGATACAAATTATTTCTTAATTACTCATCCGATGAAATACGTTGTATACTATGATCCTGTTAAAAAAAGAAAAACAACTAAACGAACAAAAATCTATTCTATTAATTCCCAAAAGAAATATAGTATTCATAATTTTAGAAAGACTAATGAGATTTTAGAAAAGGAATGTGAAAAAAGAGAAAAAAGAGAAAACAAAAGGTTAGATAATGCAATCAATAGCATCACAGGTTTAGAATTGGATGATAGTGATTATGATGATGACTCAGATGAAGAGATGGATATTAAAAAAGAATAGTTTATTGTATCATGTATCAATTGATATTTTTTATTTTAGTATATATAAAATAAAAAAATAATTTATTTATATTTAAAATAAAACATTAAACTTGCTAAGTTACAGTAGCAAAACTGGAGTAAACATTTCAATAATTACAAATTTAGCATAAAGATTTGAACAATCAATTACTAGATTTAGACTTATTAAATGTAAGGTAACCTAATAAGTCTGAATCTGGTAATTGTATTGATCTAAAAAAAGGAAATAGAAAATCTAAAAATTATTTAAAAAAATAAAATTTTATTTGGATTTATTAAATGTTGAAAAAAATAGTTTTGGCTATAAATATAAAAGCGGTGTTATTTTTATTTTACTCCAATATAAATAAATCTGCATAAAAATAACAATCGATACAACAATGGATTTGATAGATTTTTCTCGACGTTTTAACAATTTTTTTAACAAGTAAATATAATAATATTTGAAATTATTAATGAATTATATTGTATTAAAATAATTGTTTATTTTAAACAAATAGTATGGATGCCGGAAGTAATATAACAAAAGCTCAACTTTTGGCAAAAATTAATGAATTAATTAAAATGTTCGAGGAACAAAAAAATGAAATGAAAAAAAACCATGCTAATGAAATCAGTCTTTTCCGAGAAATAATTACCGCAAAAGATAAAGAAATTACAAATTTGATATCTACAAAAACAACTGAAATTACAAATTTGATGTCTATTATTGATAATCACTCTAAAGAAATTGAACGAATTTATGAAATGAGAAAAAAACATGAATATGAATACAATGAAAGATTGAAAGAAAAAGATAAAATCCACAAACGTGAAAAAGAAGAAAGAGAACGAACTTACAAACGTGAAACTGATCTTTTACAACAAACCATCGATCGTTTGGAACAAACTATTCGCTCCTTACAAACTCAAATTAGTGAAAATATTTCTCCTAATGAATATCAGTAAAAATACATTATTATTTTTTTTCCTTTAAATTGGAATCATAAAATTTTATTTTATTTATTTGTAAAACAAATTCACATTAAATAAAAATAAATAATTTAAACAAGATTTTATAAAAAATAAAAAAAACATTGTTAAAAAATCAAAAATAAAATCATCTTTCATCATAATATAATAAAAAATCAACGTTCGTCCTCAGAGTTTGTTTGTAATTTTTCAATTTCCTAATTAAATAAAATAAAATCAATAAATATATAATTAAATATTAATGATAATTGAAATTAAATAT